CTATATTTTTCTTTTAATAAAAAAACACTAATTTTGAATAATAATGAAAATATTGTTTCATGCCATTATCTATTTGAAAAAACTTTTAAGGCCCCTGAAATATTTTGCTGCACATAAATAAAACAATAAATATGTCTAAGAAAAGAAATAAAAGCAACAAATCAAAACTTTTTTTGGATCTGGAAATGCTGAACAGTGACTCTTACCATAAAACCATATAAATGTACAAACTACAAATCTGGAGGCACTGTGTAATGAATGATGGAATAAATCTCATTATTGGCTGGAAAAGTGTTGTGGCACTGTATTAAACATATACAGATATTTAGGAAAATATGTTGAAGTCAAAATTATTAGCTCTTCAGTAAATTTCCTCTCCTATTTCCAATATTTCCCAAAATATGTCAAAGCCAGGGATTTTCTCACACTATTTCCAATAATATTTTTTTTTCTTCTGTAGAAAGTCTTATTTGTTTTATAATAGAATAAAAAGAGATTTTAATGTTTTAAAGCCATTTTAAGGTCAATATTATTAACCCATTTAAGCTATATTTTTTTAGATTGTCTACAGAACAAATCATTATTATAAAATGCCTTGCCTAACCACACTAACCTGCCTAGTTAACCTAATTAACCTAGTTAAGCCTTTAAATGAATTTAAAACTAAATACTAGTGTCTTGAAAAATATCTAGTCAAATATTATTTACTGTCATCATGACAAAGATAAAAGAAATCAATTATTAGAAATGAGTTATTAACACTATTATGATTAGAAATGATTTGATAAAGTATTTCCATTGAACATAAATTGTTGAAAAAAATATACAGAGAAGCTAATAATTCTGACTTCAACTGTATATTTTTATTATTTATAATTTTTAAGTCAGTTTAAGACATAATAATATTTTCATTCAGTTTAAGACATAATAAAATGTAATGATCTTTGGCTAATCTTTTTGTCAAACTTTCATCTTAAAATGCTTCATACAAAAATAGATACTCTTTTATAACACAGTTAATATTGTTGCCAGTTTTGTCTATTTTGTCCGCAAATTTAGAGACTCTCACTGTTGCTTTAACTCATTTTAATGTTTTGTTCACAATCTATGGACAATTTTCTAATACGTTTACCCATTTTTTATGAAAAAACCCATGCATTGTATTTTATTAATAAGTTAATATAACTTAAATCCCACTACAGTCTTTAATTTAAGGATTTTTTCAGAATAAAATTCAGTCAACATCTTGTTAATGACGAGCAGATTGGAAGTGACTGACAAATAGATGTTATTTAGCCTTAAGGGCCTGCTTCGTCTAAAAAACAGAAGCATACAAATATGTTAATGAGGATATGGGAATATCTTTTGAGAAACGGAAACCAATGAGTCTTACAAAGGAAAGAACAGCTTGACTTGGCAGGTCAGGGGATGTCGTGATGCAGTGACAAAATATCAAAGCATGGTAAGCTTTCAGAAAGCATGCAAGCTGATCACTCAAGACAGCCTCATTTATCTCAGCATGGCCCAGGCCCGCTGATGGAGATCCTCTGAGAATACAGAAAGACTGCAAGAGGATGCTGACCACACAAAACTAGCAACCACTTCGCAACCGTAACACAATGACCTTGTGAGAAGCTAGTCACTATCAATGTTAATAAAGACCATTAGTTCAGTCCAGAATGCTTCATAATGCACTGGACCACCCACACATATATCATTGGCGCCAGAACACGAGTACAACCCACTCATGCTGATTCCTTTTTAATCTTTTAGTATATTTATATTGCGCTTCGATTTGCACCAACCTGCTGGGAACGTTGAGAAAAGTTCATTTAATAACACCTCTTGTGTTCTTTGTTTTGGCAGATTAGTGCGACGTGTTTTCCTTGACTGTTTGAAAAAAAGATTCAACTTAATACACGATCCAGCTTTAATGAAGCTCCCTGCGGCGACGAGCGTACACATGCTGAACATCTGCCCTCTGCAGTTTAGCTGTGGATGTTCACAGTGCGTTGTAGTTACAGAGTGAGGCTCAGAAATCTCCCCCGCAGCAGATGAGAAGGACGCACACCGTGCAAACCGAGGGAGACACATTGACTGTATTGATTTTTTTGAGCTCCAAGCTGGAGAATCACCAGCAGCAGCATCAAATCTGTTCCTGCGCCCTGAAGAGTCTCTTCACGCTCTGTAACTTCATCAGCAAACACTACAATCAGGTTTTCTTCCTAAAGTCTCAGATTAGAATGAGCCTCGATTCCATGTGTTGGTTCTCCAGCCTTTATAGGAACAATAGCTGAATGGTAATAATCACTTGAGCTGTGCTTGTGTGGTGCGTTTCTGACTTTGGCCAGCACACTCTCGCAGTAGAAATGGCCCAGAGATTTGCACTGAGCTTTCAGGGAAGTTTGTGTGCACAATTTGCAGATCTCAGGAGATTGGAGCTGAAAGAGAGTGGGAGAGAGTGTGATTATATTCCTACAGGGGACGAGTCGCAGTGTGAATGCAGCAGGAAAGATTATTCAACTAATCCCAAACTCCAACAGACAAGAGCAGAGTTTTAAAATGTTACTAACTTCAACCCAAGATTCTTTTCAGTATTTTTTGGCACACACAAAAAAAATGTTTCACCTTAAAATCATTATTTAATCACGCTTTACTTGTTTTAAACTTTTACTTTTATTTTTTTTCTACTGTTGAACACAAAAAAAAAGTCACCAGCGATCAAGCCTGAGCAGATCGCTGATATATACACTGATTGGTAGCGGACTAATCTGCCATTTCATGGACTGCAATATCCAGTCATGCATCACACACACACACACACACACACACACACACACACACACACACACACACACAGCTGTTCCTGATCCTGACTGATTGCATACACAGCCGGAGGATTGTCAAAGACTGATTACATGGACTATTTAAGCAGCACAGGCACACACACTAGTTGCTGAGTCTTGTTTACTGCACTTGTGATATTACAACACGTTTCCTTATTCTTGCTTTGTCATGTTTGGACCCTCACCTTGCTTGTATGCTTATTCCTTTCTGCTGCCTGCCTTTTGACCATCTGCCTGCTTATTTGACTTCAACTCTGGATCGCCTGTGTACATCTGCTTACTCCTGGTTTGACCATTGCTTTCCTGACCATTCACTGTTTAAATGAACTTTTATTTGGACACTTTTGTTGTCAGTGCACATCACGTTACACATAGTACCTGTTTTTTTCCTACTATGGGCGTCAATGGTTATAAGAGTTAAGCTCTCTACAGAATATCTACTTTTCTGTGTATTTTTTTAAGAAACGTTTACATTTTGGGGGGTTAAACTATCCATTAAAAAAAAAGTTTTTAAACTTAGATATAGATTTGCAATTGTTTTTCTTTCCTAAATCATTTTTCTTTAACACCTTTTTCTACTTCACTAACCTATTTTTCTCAGCCAACTTCTTTGTCACTTTTATAGTTTTTTTCCTCTCATAAAACTGTTAACTGTTTGCTCAGGCTACTTATTTTAAATGAGCTAAAATAACACAATTCTTGAGTTTTCTTTGAGGCAACCTAATTGTTTTATGTTCAATCCACTTAAATTTGTACAAACTAATAAGTTAACTTAATTGATTTGTGTTGGGACAGCATGAAGGAATTGTGTGGAAGCCACTATTTTTTACAATGTAAAATTAAAACAATACCCAACCCTAATCTTAAATGATTTATTTATATATTTATTTTTTGGCTGGAATGTCAGGAGATAACATTGACAAGGGAAAAAGATATTCAATATCCATTACAGTAGCTTCCACTCTCGTTCAAAAGTTTCCACATTTGAAGTTCCCGAAATTTTCACAAGTTTTTGTTTTATTTTGCTTCTTTACTGGTCTTCTTCATCTAACATATTTTCTCCACCTTCTCTTCACCTTCTTCATCTTCCTCTTTTAAATTTTTTTTCACCTCTTTCTTTATCTTCATTGTCTTTTTCTTCATCTTCATCTTGTTCTGCACCTTCTTCACTATTTCTTCACTTTTTCACTACTTCACAATGCAATTCTTGTTCTTGTTCTTATTCTTTATCTTTTTCCATACCTTTCTTATTCTGATCATCTTAGAATAATCAGCTTTATCTTCATTTTGTCAATAGCTATTTTTCTATCCACCTATTTTTAAGGAAACGCCAAGATGAACACAACTTTTGAAAATGCGCATAAAAGTATGCGCATAATTGAGTAGGATAAACTTTTTATTCTATAAGAAAAGATGCCTATAAACTGCTATGAAAACACTTTTACCAAACAAATTCCAGTATGCACATTAAAAAAGGTCACATGATTTTGTTATAAGATCATGTGATGATAAAAATGTGTGCGAATGGACAAACCAGCAGGCTGAGCACATTGTAAGACATTTGAAAAGTTGTTTTGGTTATTCTAAAACGCCTTAAACATTTTGGTATTAGTGTTATTATATTATTAATCACCTCCAGAACTGTTAAGAGCATTTATGGTCCATGTCTTCAAACACCATATCGTGTTCAGTACGTGTCAGCATTGTCTTTTGAGGAGCAAGTCATTTATTAAATGAAGAAAAGATTCACACATCTTCTTCTACTCCAGCAAATTACGTATTTACTTTTGATATTTGGTGCTAGTTCATCATGAAGTGACGATTTTGTTCTCTTTGACTTACTGGATGGAAACGCTGCTTTATTCGCATACCTTGTTTCCGATACTACAGATTTGTACATATATTATCTTTGCATCTTTGGATGGAAACATAGCTAATCACCTTCTTTATCATCTTATTCTTCTCAACTACTTTCTTTACCACTTCTTTTTCACTTTCTACATAGGGAAATTGCGTCATGATTATGATGTTATGATGAATGGCATCGTTGCAAATGTGACTGAACTCATTTAATAACAAATGAAACAAAAATCAATGTTTCTTTTTTTAATGTTTCTGTTTTAATACTTGAAAATATCTCATCTCTGTTCACAGCTCATACCGTTTGGATAAGTCTAGCCGGGACATGGTCAAATACCTCACCAACATCACTGCAGATTTAAGGTGAATATGAGCAGATAGATTTGCATGCACAAGTCAACTTAAAGTCACTTCTTTTAACCTAATTTTTTAGTATTCTCTAAAGAGATCTCCAGACACAACTTATTAAAACTATTTAAAGTTTTGAAGAGTAACTTAGCATAATCAGTATGTATGAAATGGCTTTATTCTTTTTCCTTTCTCTAGCTATTTACTCTATATTCATATTTCAGGAATCCTGTGGTGTGGAATTTTCTAGCTAGTATTCAGTGTAAAGGCACAGTGGCTCATTAAATAGCCTCTAATTTGCATTGTGCTTCATTTTCCAGCGTTGGTTAGATGCTTCACCACTGCCAATTGGACATTTTTAGGTTTGATTGAAGTCAGAAAGAAAGAAGGCTTTAAAAAATGTAAAAGTTTTAGCTCTCAAACTTTTTTCCCATTGTTCACAATAATTATCAAATTTCAAAATAAGATTCAAAAATCACTTTTATGTTTTAAGAATGCAATGTTCTTAAGAGTTCAAAGTGTTTTTAAGTAATAATTTTGCATAGCCCATGGTGTTGGAGTGGATAAGGATTTTTTGTAACACTAGAATACATGATATGAATAAGATATATGAATGAATATGTTATATTATATGTTATATCTCTCTGTTAAACAGAAATTGGGGAAAAAATAAACAAGGGGTCTAATAATTCAGGAGAGCTAATAATTCTGACCCAGGGTTACATTGTTGAGAACCAAGAAATATGTACCCTGGGTACATATATGTACCTACAGTTTTGGTTTTTACAAATCCACTAGAGGCCGGATTTGTGAAATTTGTCATAACATTACTTGGGCACATTTCCTCATATGTGCCATTTTTTGTAAATCCGCTTTGTACATTCCTGTAAATCTCAACATCCTCCTCACGCACATATATGAGAAAAGCTGATTGGCTTGTAGATGTGCATAATACTGTAAATCAGCTTGATATTGACCAACCGTCGTCTTCCCTAAACCAAACTGATTGTGTTTTCAAAATCACACTAGAAGAGAAAAGCTATCACCACCACTTCTTTATTATGGTTTCATTTTACCACCTGGTTTCTGGAACAGTCCTTCACCAGACCCAAACCACAGTTTGTTTCATTCTGCATTCGTGGTGAGCTATTAAGCAAACCAGAAATGCCAGAAAAGCCGTTCATATGGAGACGAGCAGTAAGCTTTACTGCCCCATAGCATTTGTTTTAAACACAAAATACAGCCATATGCACCTGCATTCAAACATTTCTCGGTTCTCAAAAATATAGCTCCGTTCACATAATCCCTGATCCTGCTTTAGATATTTTAAATGCATAGACGACATTTTTTTAACTATCTTTGTTATGACAACTTGACATAACTAAATACATCAAAACCTGTCTTTATCTTTACCATGATAGCTTGACACTATCAAGACAATATAACTTGTCATAAATCTTTCATAAACATGATAGTCATGAGACCATTATAAATGGAATATAAATTGTATAGCAGCATCATTATTTTTTTTTTCTAGACCTTGACTGCAATGGTACAAATTGAATTTGTCATTAAAATGTCATTAAGTATATATGAAATTGTTAATTTATTTGTCAGGGTATTGACGCTTTTACTTAGAACTTTTAATGACACAATTTTTTTTTCACTAAAAAGTGATCAGAAATATATTCATGGCACATTTATAATGGCCTCATGACAATCATGTCCAATTTATGATGGGAATTGTAAGTTGTCATGACAAAGACAAGCTGTGATGTACTGTACTTGTTTATGTCAAAGACATCTCAAACAATGCTATCTTTGCATTTAAAATGACATAACAGTTGTCATAAGCATGTATAACATCTTCGTTTTCATGACGTGCCATGTGATGATTATAAAGGTGTCATGACAGTCTTATGAACACTCCCTTTGAGTATAGTGTTGCTGGATATTTATAAATAAGGCTTTGTACATGTTTTTTTCAAAAATATATATTTGCATTTAACATTGTATTCACAGAGTTGTAATATTTAGTTTATATTATGTTTCCTTATCTCGAATTTTTGGGGATCCTGGTTGATCTTTTTCTTTTTTAAAAATAAAGAATTGACTTGCAGATTTTTTATGCAGGAGTCTATAAATACAGTAGATAGTTAGATAAATACTGTAGATAGACAGACAATGTATACATTTTACTTTCTTCTTTCCTCTTTTCTTTTCTTCTTTTTGTTGTCATCCTCACTGCATGCCTAGTCAAAGCTACCATCTTCAGACCTCTAGGGAAATCCATCCCAGCATCACACTGGAACCGTCGCCCAACTACAACTCCCCCAAATTCCGCTCCAGGAACCAGAGCTACATGAGAGCGGTCAGCACCCTGAGTCAGGCCAGCTGTGTCAGCCAGGTCAGCCAGGTGAGAGACACATCTGCCCGACTTCACTGTGTTCAAGGTAATCCAGGACTTTTTACACTCACAGTCACAGTGCAGAAAAACACAACACAAACAGAGGATTTAGAGCCCAGTTTCCCATTTATATCAAATATAGTGTTATTGTGCTTGCCGGTTTTTAAATTGTCAGATGTATCAGCAGCTAACATCTAAACCGCTCTTTTAAAGTGAAGTAATGGGGGTTGTATTGATTTGGCTTGAGGTCTTACAACTGGGTTTTTATTCTCGAGACCCTGATTTTTGCACACACGCTTACTCTAGACTTCTGAGAATCGTCAGTGGCTTGCTGCGGTCATTAGGGGATAATTCCCTTTCAATGGAACGCGATGGATTTTAGAGATTGCTAAATGGGAATCTGATGGCTTGTTAGAATCCTATCAGGCGAGTTCAGCTCGACTAGACAGATATCGCTTTATCACTGACATTCTCATCTCAGATTTTCCGAAGCGATCTAAGCAGGTATTGCTCAGGAATGAGGAGGATTCAAGGAAAGCATTTCATTTCCTCAGACTTCAGCAGGAAGACTTAATGTTTTATCCGCAGAGATTGTGTTGTGACCGTATCGCAGTTTTTATCTCACGTACAGTCCTGTGTAGATAAGATTAGACTGTTCGCTGGGACTAAGGGAGAAATATAGGCCCAACAGCAAATAAAGCCAAGAAAGCAGCCGTGGGAAAAAAAAAGAAGTTGGTCTGAACATGCTGAGATGTGTTGTCTGGGTTTTTCTGGTTCTGCAGGTGAGCGAGACCGAGGTCAATGGGCAGTTTGAGTCGGTGTGTGAATCCGTGTTCAGTGAGGTGGAATCTCAGGCCATGGACGCTTTGGACTTGCCGGGCTGCTTCAGGACACGTAGCCACAGTTACCTGCGAGCCATCCAGGCCGGATTTTCCCAGGACGATGACTGCGTCCCCTCCATGACATCATCTACTGTCACATCCACCATCAGGTCCACCACAGGTAAGTGGGCTTTCTATGTGGATAGCCATGCGCCCCTGTGTCTGGTCTTGGCTTGTGTTTGTGTCAAAGTACAAGTTGCAAGATTCCAAAAAACTTTTTAAATAAAAATAATAAATAATATATATTTTTTATTTGTTAAAACTGACTTTGGTATAGTAGAGTTTGATGAAATAGCAATGATTTATTTTATTTATAATACAGTTTTGTGGGACTGAGGATCTCTATGACAGTGAGACTTTTTACAATTTAAGAAGCCGATCACACCAAACGTGCTTTTTGTTTAGAGGATGATTTTTTGGATGATTTACTTACGGCCATGAGGTTTTGCACGCCTCAAGTTTTAACCCCCTGCTGGGCCTAATGTTTTTCCCATGCACGCTGTGTGCTTGCAGTTGAAAAAAAAGTAAACTCTGAGCAGAAAAGCGAGTTACGTCAGTTGCGTCTTTTTCATTCTCCAATCAAATGAAAGCAGAGGTGGGGATTCCATTGAGGTGACTGCAGTGTTTGTCAAGACGACTATGGAGACTTTTAAAGATAGAGGAGAGTGATTAGTGGTTACTGTTTTGAGTTATCCGCAGCAAGAAGGTCGCTGGTTCAAGCCTCGGGTGGGTCAGTTGGCATTTCTGTGTGGAGTTTGCATATTCTCCTCATGTTCACGTGGGTTTCCTCTGGGTGCTCCGATTTCCCTCACAGTCCAAAGACATGCGCTATAGGTGAATTAGGTAAGCTTAATTGTATGTAGTGTATGAGTGTGAATGAGCGTGTACGGGTGTTTTACACTGATGGGTAGCAGCTGAAAGGGTAACAGCTGGAAGGGCATCCGCTGCATAAAACCTATGCTGGATCAGTTGGTGGTTCATTCCACTGTGGCGATCCCAGATTAATAAAGGGACTAAGCCGAAAATAAAATAAATGAATGAATGAATGAATTAGTTAATGAATTAGTCACAAAAAGGCATTGCAGTGTGCCTTGCGCTTTTGGAAAGTAAAAGCGTGTTCGGTGTGATCGGCCCCTTACTTATGTCCTATTAAAATTAATTGCCAACTGATGTGTCAACTGACTTAATTTCTGTTTCAGTTTCATTGTGATCCTAAAAGGCATACCTGAGTCAGTTTTACATCTGTAAACATTAAAATGATGAATAAGCAATTTGATTAAGAAAATGTCAGTTTAGAAGCAAGAGCACTTAATTTTATGAATTTAAGATCTGCATGGCTTTTAATTATTGAGTGTAGATGCAGAACTCAGTAAAATCGTTACAAAATGTAAAATATAAAATGAAATTCAGAATGGAGGAAAAGCTGTTCATCTTAATGATGATTTATACTTTAATATAGCACTGTATTACGTGTGGCATGGCATGCATGCATGTGAACGGCTTGCAGCAGAGTGGTTGTTTTGTGTACGGCTTCTTAACCCAGAGGTAAGTGCTGGTGTGCCTCAGAGCATAAGAATATGAACCCTATTGAATTCAATCCCCAAATATTGTGCTCAAAAATAAATACATAAAATGGTGAAAAGTGAAACATCCCCTTTTTAAAATACTGTATCCAAATTAAGATATGACCTTTTTTATTCTTCCACTGTATGTTTTGTCTCTCAAGATTTTCAATTTGGATCTCTACCTTGTCCTATTTTCTGCCTCAGTTGACTCTTGGCTAACAGACAGGGAGGGGGTGAAAAGCAATGATGGAGACACAAGGTGGTGTGTATTGCGATCCCAAAATGTTTCTCAGTCGGATGATTGTCACTCTGTGGGCTCTCTGTTTCTCACTTTCGCACATCTTCTAGTCTCTCTCTCTCTCTCTGTCCCTCTCTCGCTTTCTCTTCTGGGCGTGAAGGTGGTTTTAAACGCATCAGTTTTGAGTTCTCTCTCCCACAGGGTCCGCAACTGAAGCTGTGCTTGTTTAAAGGGTCAGTGGTGAAACAGGCCCCTTAAATAAATAGAATTAAATGCATCAGAGTCTAATCCCTGGACATGTGAGGACTAAGGCCAAAAATCAGTTTAGACGAACATTATGCTAGCGTTTTTGCACTGCCTTCTCACTGATATATGCTTGAAGTATTATGAGCAATATTGGCTTTCTTATAAACAGAGTCTCTTTTTGAGCTTAATTTGAATCAATTCCTAATAGTAAATGCCATATATTATGGAACAGTGACTGGGCAAGGAATATATTAAGGTATACAATCACTGATCACCAAAATTTCATGTTAACTTATTGCTAAAGCAATGAGCAAATAGTTTTGTTTGAATTTGGCTGTTTGTGTGTCGAGGTACCGGTTAAAAACAATGATTCCCCCAGTAAAGACCTGGTCAGTGATGTGTCAAAGTGGACCTCTCATGTTCAATAGGGTTCATACCTGCTTTGCTGAGACACACACACACACACACACACACACACACACACACACACACACACAAAAAGAGACTGAAAGCTTTTGCTCGCAATTGCCTCCTTTCAAGGCACAAAACACAGACCTGCTCTGTCAGAGGGACCTGATGATGCTCTATAGATGCCATTGTTATTATCCCCTGCAGGTGTCCTCAGGCTTCAGTTCTCTGTTTTGTGCTTTGAGAGATATGCAAATAGAGGATGGAGTGAGAAGGCAGAGTAATAACAGAGAAAAAAAGCTGTGAGTCAAAATGGGATCTGTTTGGTAGCATGATTGCAATAACTCAAAATAACTAGCTCCCGTCATCTAAAGCAGAGGGAGCTGAGATTGCATTGGTTGCATACTGAGCAAATCTCGAAACAATCTGTGAGATTTTACAAAGCCCTTTGATTTGCTAATTGCATACATCCCTGAATCTCTTTCCTGCAAATAATTAACTCCCATATCCATTCATTTTAATCTGACCTATGTGATCCTTCATACACAAAAAAATTTAACCTTGATCTGGCCCGAAACTTATTTTGGCTCACATATATTTGGTTGAATAGAGCCTGCAAACTGCACAAATCCCAGCTGGCTTCACCGCTGGGCACATTATATACAATGGCATTTTTATATTTTTCTTCCAGAGGGAAATGATGTGCTGGAGGGCACTGGTTTGCTTAATGAGGACAATTTACCCAGCGAGGGGCCAGACTTGACCTCCATGGCCCATGGCAATACGGGCTTCCGCAGGAGAGGAGATGAATCAGGCACCCTTTATGGTAATGGCTCACCATCCAGGACTCCCTTGTTTCCCCCATTGAAAACAAGTGCACCCATCAGGCCACGGCCTGTTCAGTCAAGTGTCCAGGAGACGGCAGATCTGGCCCTGGCCATCAGCCAGCAGTGGAGAGAGGATGTGTCAGCCATGCGTAAGGAGTTAGCCGAGCTTAGGAAGGATCTGTGCACAGAGCTCAGAGCCTTTAACAGGAACTTTTCCACCTTTACACAACATTACAGCACATGGTCACCGAGCTGTGTGAGGGAAACCCAGACAGCTGCACCTCAAGTGTCTGTCAGCACCCAGGCAGGAAGCAAGACCCTGGTGCGTCAGAACACAGCGGATGCAGCGGTTAACTGCCCATCACCAGTTGATCCCAGTGTTTTATCCATGTCTCCCTCTGAACCTGCAGATAGAAACGTTCTGCAGGTCTCAACGTCATCACCATTTTTTCAAACTGACCCCAACTCTGAATTAGCAGACATTGATGATCCTACTTTTGCTAATCTTACTCCTCCAGATCCAGTTGATGTTACATCGCTTTGTTGGCCTGATCTAGATTCAGACTCTATGACTCCTCCTGATCCTCCAGAACCAGTACCAGAAGTAGAATCCTATTGCTTTACAAAGTCATCCACTCCTGAGCATGTTGAATCAATTGTTTTAGACTTTACAAATGTAGAGCTTGTGAACCTGGCCAGTTTGCAATGGCCTAAACTGGATCCGGAAGATACTGGCTCTTCACTACACGAATCTCTCGATCAGCCCTCTCCGGGGTCTCCGGAAGAGCTTGGTCCATGTACACCCGAGCTTGTTATCACAACTACACAGGAACGGTCAGTCCTAGAATCAATGCAACCATTGTTGCTGAGTCATTTAGATGAAGAACAAATAGACTTCACATTGCCCGAACTGGACCCCAGTGTTCTGAGTCCATTGACCTTGGATTCTATGAATCTTCATGACTTAAAATGGCCAAGTTTAGAATCTCTCGAACTCAATGTTTCTGGCTCTCAAAGCCCAGGTCCTTTAGATCTAGCTTTGCCAAACCCTCCAACTCCAGAAACTGTCTACACATGCTCCTTTGAGTCTACAGCACAAGAACCACCCCTTCCAGAACTTTTGGACACCATTTATCTCCAGCCTGCCACACCAGAGCCCGAATCGCGAACAGACTCTGACATATCAAACCCAGCAAGCCCCGAACCTCATTTTCCCACTTGTCAAAAGTCAAGTACACATGAACTAGACTCTCAGGCTCTTGTTTTATGGTCCAAAAAGGACACATTCATGATCTTTCGAGAAGAAGATGGTGCAGAGTCCTGCTCTGAAGAGAAAGATGGTCAGAATGTAGCTTCTTCTGACACGATGATTAATTTTGCAGTCCAGTCAGACGCTGTTGACTCAGGTCCTCTTGAGTCTGAGACTCTTTTCTCTGCCGTTCTGTGCTCAATTGAGTCAGACACTTTCGATCCTGAAGTCACGAGCATGGATGAACCAACAACACAAGGGTCGAATCCACCCGGACTTGCCACCATAGACCCAGCGACTGTGCACCCCTTCAATTTATCCCTGCTGGAGCTTCAGTCGGCTTTAGATGTGTCTAAGAGCGAAACAAGCGATAATGGGTCACCAAAGGGAACAGCAGCCATAAGCAGCCCTTCTTATTCTCCATCCCGTAGGGATTTTCTGTGGATTCGGTGGCAGCGGAAAACACGTGGACGGCAGCCAATGTCACGGAGTGCCAGTATGGAAATTTACCACAAGAAATACTCAAACAATTCAGAGATGTCTTATATGTCACTGTCACTCTGAGCTCTTCGAAAGTGCATGAAGCTACACGGGGTGTGCAATAGATAATCATAAGATGTAATATTTGCTGACAGAATACAAGACTGTTAAGTTATGTAGCAAGATGTTTACAGGTTTGTGTCTCTCCAAAGTGTGTGTGTGTAATTATATCAAAGAGAATGAGAAGTAGAGAGTGTGGAAAGGACAAAAGATGAAGGGGGTTGCTACATTTTAGGCATGGATGAGGTTATGAGAGAGGTTGTAGCTAAAAGCAGTCTGATGACAAAAATGGCACTGCATTAGTGTACTTCAGACATTCAGCACCTATTTACTCTGTGAAACCAGTGAGTCACCTTGAACTTCACTCCTCTCCAGGGACATTCTTTACAGAGACTCAGATGTATTTTAGTAAATACTGTGATTGTTTTTTTGGCGGAGAACGAAGACTTCCAGTCAAGACACTCTTGCCAATAAACTTTAGAAACTACCGAGTAAACTGTAAAATAAATCTCTGTACAAACCTATCTTGGATCAACCAGGAATTTGTACCTTGGTCATGTTCTGTGAGGGCGAAGGCATAGGGATAATCCTTTTTCAGATGGAACAAGACTGAATGTTGGCCAAAGACTACCTGAAACAACTGCTTGGATACATTTTATGGATTTTTGATAATCTGTTTTTTTCTCTGAATGTAATGTAATGGTCATTTTTCTGGTGTGAATAATGGAATCCTTTATTCCATTTAACTCAAAGTCTTCAGAGCCAAAGTCTCACTGTAAAAGTGGAGGACAATTTAGTACTGTGAATTTTCCAAAGACACGACGGCTATGTTATGATACTGTGTAAAGTGACTGATTTTATTTTTCTCTTTTTTTTTCTTTAAAACCTATATCTTGAGGGGACGTAGGACATGCTGAATGTGATATTTTTTGATTCCCTTTCTGGACATATATGGAAATATTTGAGATATTAATATTGAATCACTATTTCTTAAAATGACTTACATTAACAGAGGTCCGACGTACTGTTAGTCTGCTCTGTTTACATGAACAGGAGCATGTAGCTCATTATACAGTTTATTTGATTTGGGAAATAGATCTACAGTCCACAGAAATGCATACTGGTTAGGAAGTAAGTCCTGTGGTGTAAACAAACAAATTGAAAGGACTGTCCAATATTTGTACAGTTAGCAGTAAACAAAATTTATCATGCACACTTCTTACAAATCCATGCTAATCTTTCAAATCCACATATATTATTATAAAAGAGATACTACATACTGTTTGCTCTTAAAATACAAGTATAATATATTCCACAGGGATTCCCTCTTTTATTGTACATATGCAGCCGATTGTATCCTGTGACTTTTTTCTCTTCAAATATTAATAACATTACAGACACAACAGCTCCATGTGTTAAAAAATGATGCCAGTTTATTTGAGCCAGTATAGTGACTAAAGATATCAATGCCAAATCAGCAGTCTAAATCTATTAATATCAAAATTATGTACGTATCAGGGTACTTACGGAAACACTCCGGCTATCCCTGTTATTAACTGGCATTAATGGGCTATATGCACAGCTAGTAATTTTTCAGCCGGTGAGAGCATTATATGACTATTTAAAATTTTATAAGGTTCATTTTACAGCATCGATGTATATGTATGATAGACATAAGCATCCATTAGATTGTTAAAGCGTAAATAGAGACGAAAACTCATGCGCCGTCATTAGCAGCAGGCCAGCGCAGAAACTCCATTGAAAATACTAAGGTAAAACATATTTTAAAGACATGGCACAGAAAAATATAATTTAATGCAGTGTTTTTTGTTTGGTCTGATACCAACTTTATATCGTATCTCAGCCAGGCAGTAAAGATCTTTTTAAAAGAATTCACATCTTAACGCAGTAACCGGAAGCACCGAGGCTGGCTAACTGAAACTAAAAGTCTGTGTGCATATACCTAATTCACTAAGGTGGTATTGACAAATGTAGAGCAATGGACTTGTATCTGGCAATCAGATGAAATTTCAAAACCAGATACAGTGATCTTTCATTTGCTAGCAACAGTTTTACATTAAATTGGTTTTAAAATAAAAGTTCCTAAGGGAGTTAATATAGTTGAGACTGCAGAATAACATTATTAAATCAAATCAAATCACTTTTATTGTCACATCATCAGCAGCACGTCTGCTATGATGAGTGAAAAGCAGACAGTACAAAATACAGACAGTGCAAGTACAACGACTCCCAAAAAGAACAGGAAAATGTAAAATGGACAGAGATATGTGCAATGAATAGGTGTTCACAAAGTTGTAGTCAGTATTGTTTCAAGATAGGCAGTATTGTTTTATTGTTATTATTTGCAGTGAATGTATTTTTATTTTCCATCAAGTGGTTGTAGCTAATTGCATCTAAATGTATTTAGATTTGTTCACTTGTTGTTGTTGTTTTTAGTAAAAACCTTGAGTTTCAAGGCTTTCAGTTCGTTTGTAGTTAGATAGCCAACCGAACGATGTTAACAGTGTGTTTTGAGAACAGTGCATATACTGGATGGTCTTAAAAGCTTTCGAAGACTTTAAATGTGTTTCCCTACTAATTCAACCTAGTTACATATCTTTAATCTGTAAATATTTAATGTTGCAATGGAAATCTTGGCTAATTCCCAGTTCGCATGCCACTACTAAGTATGGTATGGTCATTAAACTACACCCATTACAACTCAACAACCATGATGTGTGTAGTGTAGTGCAACAAATTGTGGAAAATACTCCTCAAAAAGCACATAAAGATGCATACAGTATTTTGAACATTCACTGGACACAGTTAGCAGATTTAACCTACTATTTCCACATATTAGGAGGATGCTGATCCTTATATCACATACTATATAGTATGCCAAGCATGCGTATTGGGATTTAGCCATTGCTAACAGGTCTTCCTTTATCCATAACAGAGCTCTCAGGCCTTATTTTACAGCATTGTCCACACATTGCCCTCTTCTGTGCTGGAGAGCTATTTCTTGAGTAATAAAAGTGGGTTTTACAAACATATCTAGAACAGACCCACAGGTGCTTAAAGTACAGGACAAAACTGACTGTAGCAACTCTGGACACGCATTAAGACGCTCACTGGTCCCATTTCTACAATATGAAGTCATTGCAAGTCATTTCAGTGGGCAGGAAATACCTGACAGAGCCTTATGGGTCATTTAAGTGTAGTAAAAGCAGTGTTTCTCTTATTGGAAGGGTTTCCTGGTACTGCACATTTCATTGGCTGCTTGTGCATTGTGTGCCTTGTCTTGCTCATGAATGTGGGCGTTTAACCACCCAGCCTCAATATTGTTGTGCCACTGTGATTTTATCCATTGATTTAACTCTTAATGGCTTCAAAATTCCAAAATGAAAGCACTTTGACTGTAAGGTTTCAAATATTAACTACAGAGACCCGAAGCCTGAAAAAAAAAACATGTGAAAACAAGCCTCTTTATCTCTGTGTATCTTCATTTCTGTCAGCTGATTGTTGTTGTTTATTTTCCTGAGATCATCCTAAATGTCTGCAATCACGATGATCTGTACCTAAGTGAATGTTAATTATTTCTTTAAATAATAAAATGACAACTTTTACATGAGCTGTTTTAGACCGTTGCATGGTGGTCTCTGAATTAGGAGTGTACTGTAAGCTACTAAACCTCTCTCTACTCATTTCTCTTCACAAACACACACACACGTGCACATTTGTTTGTTTTCTCTTTAACTGGTAAGAGTTATACTACTTGATCTGCTGTAATAATAATATTAATTTCCTTTTGTAGGCCTATGCAAAGTTCATAGCTGAGCGAATTGCCACAAGCAGTAACACTTTCGATGTCATAGTAAATAATCCAGCGTGACGTTATGCAAAAGCGCGAATTGATGAGAAGGTTCTGCATGGCGATTGGGGATTATGATTTCGATTCTGATATTGTTAGCTTTACTAGAACTTGAAGATTTAATTCAGGTTGAAGTGATTTTTTTTGTACTACTTTTTTTTGTTGCGTTGAGGGTTTGGGATATTGCTTTTCTGTGGTGTATGGTCTTTAAAACACACAGTGGAAGAATGTTTTGTGTTCATTTGGAACAATGATCACTTTTCATCAGGTGTTTCTATTTTTTAACAAGCTTCTCGTGAATAGTTATTGTCAAGGCTCATGATGCAGAATTGAGCGTGTTTGTACTGAGCTCAGAATGACGTGTGTATGTATGTTGTGTTTGTCTGTTTTGTCTGTCTGCGGTGTGAGAATGTGGTCTGGCTTCAAAAAGTTTGTGTATGTTTGCTTGTAGGAATTCAGTTCCATCTCCCTTCTTCAGGCAGTGTGGATCGGCCATCCCAACAACCACCAGGTAAAGACACCCCAATCATCTTTTCATATTTACTCCAACTAGTTGTTACAAAAACGACATATTCTCTTACATTTGTTCATTATTATGATTTCACTTTATTTTAAAGTGCATGCATTTACATAAACACACTGTGTGCTTAAAATATACTTGACAAAGAAAGTACTGCTAAAGATAACTTCATAAGTCAATGCTAGTGCGAACCCTGAAACTGCCCGTTTATTGTAATTATTATAAAAATATTTTTTAATTGTAAATAAATGAAATATTTTAAGATTTAAATGTTTATTGTGTGAAACAATATTTTCAAAGTTTATATATAATATGTTTAAAATAATTTCTTTGAATGCTGTTTTCTGATTTCATTGCAGAATTATGGGTAATGTAGTTTCTCACTTGGATATCAGTGTATAATATAAACCCGAGATTAACTAATCCAGGCGATGACTTACCCAAAAGCATATATTATTGATTAATAATCATTATAAAGGTTTGTAAATTTTTAAAAAATCAGTTGAGCTATGAGGAAAAGAAAAGGGATTTTAATGTCCAGAACACGATTCTATTTGGTCTAAGACCTTTTATTGATGTTCAGTATTCAAATAAAGTGCTTTAAGGACTGCTGGAGTATTTTTCTAAATTAGTCTTTGCTCGAAATCATCCCAAAAGTGTATTGGGTTGATGTCGAACTCTGTGCGGGTCATTCAAGTTCCTCTACACCAGGGATCACCAAACTTGTTCCTGGAGGTCTGGTGTCCTGCAGATTATAGCTCCAACCCTAATCAAACACACCTGAACAAGCTAATTAAAATTTTACTAGGTATATTTGAAACACCCAGGCAGGTGTGTTGAGGCAAGTTGGAGCTAAACCCTGCAGGGCACCGAACCTCCATGAACAAGATTGGTTAATCCTGCTCTACACCATTTCTTTATGGACCTTGCTTCGTGCACTGGTGTACAGATGGAACTGAAGAGGCCATACCCAAACTTTTCCCACAAACTTGGAAGCATAAAATTGTCTGAAATGTCTTGAGATAAAATTTCAAGAATGGACCTATTGCACAGGTGGCAACCTATCAATGTACCACACTTGACAAACGTTCACAAACGTTTTTAGACGCATCTTCATGACTTGGTGCTTGATTTTTTTTACACCCGTGGCCATGGAAGTGTATGGAACACCTTAGTTCAATGATTAGGAGGGGTGTCACTTATTCCCAGTGCTTTATGTGAGTGGGCGGAGCTATACTGAACTCGTTTGACATTTTATGTATAGCATTGTGAGCAATGCAATAAAAATTATGGTACAAAAGTTATTTCTGGGGTGACGCGGTGGCGCAGTAGAAAGTGCTGTCGCCTCACAGCAAGAAGGTTGCTGGTTCAAGCCTTGGCTGGGTCAGTTGGCATTTCTGTGTGGAGTTTGCATGTTCTATCAAGCGTTCGCGTGGGTATCCTTCTGGTGCTCTGGTTTCCCCCACAAGTCCAAAGAAATGCGGTACAGGTGAATTGGGTAAGCTAAAATTGTCCGTAGTGTGTGTGAATGAGCGTGTATGAGTGTTTCCCAATAATGGGTTGCAGCTGGAAGGACACCCACTGCGTAAAAACATGTGCTGGATAAGTTGGCGGTTCATTCCGTTGTGGTGACCCCAGATTAATAAAGGGACAAAGCTGAAAAGAAAATGAATGAATGAATAAAGTTATTTCTGGCGTGATATTTTTTTTAAGGTACACATTTGTACCTAACAAGTCCACATTGGTACCTTAAAGGTAGTAGTACCTTTACTCTACATCAGGGATATCAAACTCCGCAGCCCTGCACAGTCTAATTCCAACTCTAATTAAACACACCTGATCAAACTAATTGAGTCCTTCAGGCTTGTTTGAAACCTACAGGGAAGTGTAGGCTGTGACCCTCCAGGAATTGAGCATGACATCATTGCTCTACATGTTAAAACCTAAGGGTGTACTCACACTTGACTATCCGAACCATGCCCCAGCACGTTTGACCCCCATTTCCCTGTTCGTTTGACAAGTGTGAGTGCTCTAAACCAGTTGGCCAGCCCTAGCCTGGTTGGAAAAGGTGTGGTAGAACGCAGTTCAGTTGGGCTTTGGCGCATTACGCTTGTAGCTCAGCACACCTGAGCGAGAAACTGAAGACCCGATGTCACTTTTTTTTATATCTATATATATATATTTAGGGGTTTTTCACCTTTATTATGACATGACAGTAAAGAATTCATACAGAAAAGCATTTGGAGCAGTGAGAGGGGAAGGATAAAGGACCTCAAGCCGGGAATCGAATTCGGGTCGCCGTGAGCACGTTGGTGCTATATGTCAGTGCACAAGACCACTAGGCTATTGGCGCAGACCCGACGTCACTTTTAAGGGACTGTTTCATATGGATTTATTAATCATTCTAACCTGTTAATGAACGTGAACTGTCATAGTTTATTAAAGATACAACCCCCCACAAAGTAGAAAAGTGTACCTTTTAAAAAGGTACTACCCCAGAGACAACGTTTGCACCTTTATATCTGAGAGTGTTAAATGTGATTGTTTGTTTAAATGGGGATATTTAATGCAGACAGATGAGAAAAGTGGTTGTAAAAAAGACCATTGTGGTCTTTTATAAACTGACAGTGAAGAATTGGGCATTTTGCATGCTGAATTGTGATTTCATTTAATCTTTTACATCTGTTAAAACCCCAAATTGTGATTTTTGTCCCCCTTCCACGTATTTCATCATTTAAAGCTGTTTAATGATTCTCAAGAGCAGCAAACCTAAAACAAAATGACTGTCATCAACTTTAACTCTCTTCTTTTGTAGCCTTGTAAACAGTGAGTATTTTTCTCTTGTTTTGTCAGTGTGATGGACTCTCACTAACTCCTTCTCTCTCATTTGCCCCTTCCTCTCTCTTGATAGCAATGAAAGCCCAGATGCCATCACTCTCGGCTCATTTGATAAAACGGGCAGCGCAGAGAGAGTTATGAGTCCCTGTTGCATTATTTGTTTGGCGGTAACATCTATTTTTGTACCAGTGCTGAATCACTCCTCTCTCGTTCATTCTCGGCCCTTCAAACTCTCTTTCTCTCTTCCACTCCCTTGTTGTTACAATCCATCTTTCTCTTTTAATCTCTCCTTATCTCTCTTTCGTCCAGACTGTCTGACTCAGTTGTTCATATGACCTTTCTGTGAGATTTTAAAGCTGGCTAATGCGATGAGAGGTGGCTTTGACTTATTAAGACGTACAGCAGGATCTTGAAGTGATATTATCATCATTATGACAACTGGAGTGAAAGGCGAACTGAAAAATTGCAGTGTCGCATCAATATTTCAGTAATGACCTCTAACATTTGTATGAGTTTTTATTGTTTTTTTATACTATACCATTTTTTCTTAGATTAAACTTTTAGATTTTTAAAATGAAATGTAATTTAGACCCCAATAAATGTTTTAATAAATGTGATGTTATCCAGCAACCCGTAATAGACTCATAATAGATTTAAAGCATAATAGATCCTTAACAATGAATCATCTTTATAAGTGAAGAATGAACTTCAACCACATTGAAAGTATGCAACAGTAAAAAAACTTATTTTTAATATCTCTTATGCTTATCAAGGCAGCATTTATTTAAGCAAAAATACAATAAAAATTTAATATTAACATTTTATTAAATAATTAACTGTTTTCTATGGAAATTTGGTAAAAATAAAATTATTGTGAGTCATAGCCAAATTTCCAGGATTATTACAGTCTTCGGTGTTGTATAAAAGAGAAGAAATAATCAAAAATTGTGTGTGTGGGTGTGTTTTACATCTATAAATATACCCAAAATCAATACACACACACACACACATACACACACCCTCACCGGCCACTTTTTTAGGTACAACTTACTAGTACTGGGCTGGACCCCATTTTGCCTTCAGAACTGCCTTAATCCTTCGTGGCACAGATTAAACAAGGTTTGCTTCGTGGCAAAGATTCCTTGGAGATTTTGGTCCATATTGGTCCACATTCCAAATGTGCTCTACAGGATTAAGATCTGGTGACTATGGGGGCCATTTGAGTATAGTGAACTCATTGTCATGTTTAAGAAACCAGTCTGAGATGATTCACACTTTATTACATGGTGCATTATCCTGCTGGAAGTAGCCATCAGAGCATGGGTACACTGTGGTCCTAAAGGGATGGACATGGTCAGCAACAATACTCAGGTAGGCTGTGGCATTGGCACAATGCTCAGTGTGGCAAGAAAATATCCCCCACACAATTACACCAACACCTCCAGCCTGAACCTTTGATACAAAGCAGAATGGATCCATGCTATCATGTTGTTAATGCCAGTTTTTCCAATCCTCTATTGTCCAATTTTGGTGAGCCTGTATGAAATTTAGCTTCAGTTTCCTGTTCTTAGCTGATAGAAGTGGCTTCCAGTGTGGTCTTCTGCTGCTGTAGCCCATCTGCCTCATGGTTTGACGTGTTGTGCATTAAGAGATGCTCTTCTGCATACTTGTAGCAAGTGGTTATATGAGTTACAGTTCCCTTTTCACATACCTAAATGAGTTGTTGCTATGTGATTGGCTGATTAGAAATTTGCATTAACAAGCAGTTGGACAGGTGTACCTAAAAAAGTGTACTTAAGACTGTGTGTGTGTGTGTGTGTGTGTCTATATATATATATATATATATATATATATATATATATATATATATATATATATATATATATATATATGCATTCAGCAACTTTTATTTAAAATAGAACTGGAAATCTGTAGTATTTTCTGTCCCTTTCAATTATGTTGTAACTTTTCACTCATCAAAAGTCTAAAAAGGTACACTAAATTAGAGGACAAATCAAAGCTCCATTTATCAGCCTAGTCCAGCTGTGTGGATTAAAGCAAAAAGAGATTTGTTGATAACCTTTCTCTCATCAGAACCCGCGGCAGGCTTCACATTCTGTCCACAAGCACATCAGAGCACTGTTTGTCACTGCTTCTTTCTCTTATTAATGAAGGGAGAGTTGGTGTTAGTATTGTGCTCTGTATATTAACGCATTATAATTAGCAGGCTTCTCTTCATTTTGAATGAGTAATCAGCAGCACAGTGTTTTCACTCTGTGTTCAGAGTATTGGTCAATAAATATGTAATAATCTTGGTCTCCCTTCGGTCTTGAATATTTGATAAGATTGTGTTGATGTGCAGGAGATATTTGACTTTAAGCCTCTTTCTCTCTGTCTATCAGCGGTCACCTACACTCCTAGTACACCCACCTACAAGAGGACACCTCCGCCTGTTCCCCCTCGCTCCACCTCCAAACCCCTGATCTCCATCACGGCGCAGAGCAGTACAGAGTCCACGCAGGATGCCTACCATGAGGGACAGCTGGCCAGAGGTCTGTTAACCACAGTTGTCTGAGTACTTTTCTAAACTTTTATAGTATTTAGTTTTGAAAGAGCTTTTATGTTCATATTTTTGGTTTTTCTAATGAGTTTTAGTCCATTATTTCTTTTTTTTTTTTTTTTTAGTTCATATTTATTGTTTTTTTTTTTCATTTTCTTTTCGGCTTAGTCCCTTTATTAATCCAGGGTAGCCACAGCGGAATGAACCACCAACTTATCCAGCACATTTTTACACAGCGGATGCCCTTCCAGCCACAATCCATCACTGGGAAACCATTTATTTTTGTGTTATTATTATTTATTGTAGCACTCATTTCAGTTAGTTTTCATGGCAACATTTTGCATTTTTATTTAGGATTTTTAATTATTATTCAAGCATTATTTCTGTTACTAACAATAATATTTCTTAAATTGATTTAATTAACAATAACAACACTGCTATTTTATTTTTACCTAAAATAGATTTTTTTTTAACTGTATAGCATACAAAAATTTTATTTATTAATTTTGTAATTCATTCAGGTTTTTTCAATAGAGACTGAGATCAATGTATCGTAATCCAATCCAGTCAAAGGCTCCATCCCCCACCTGCTGCCCAATTTGTGTGTGTGGCCTAATGCTTTGTTCAGACTGCATAATTTTATTAGTATTATACTTTTATTAGGTAGTCGTGTTACAGATGTTTTCACACTGCATGACTATCTGGGTAGCGTTCTGTCTGTGCTGTGTTTACACTGTAGGATGTATCTGCAACATGGGGTTTTACACTGCATGACTTTATAATAAAAGAATAGCTGACAACGTTGTCTCTGTCTACAATCTACGTCTCTCACAACCACACACACGTGAGAAGTGACATGGAAACAATGCAAGGTCATGTAGTATATCTTTTGTTATTTACCAAATATGAAAGAAACCTTTAGTGGGGTAGAAAATGTACTTATTTTGCTCACCTGAGTTTTGAATGGAATTAGCAATTTCTTTTAAACTTTTTTCTTTTTCGACCTGGTTGTGATATTGCTCACACGTCAAACAGACATGAGTGCTCTTCCTTCATTTCTTGGCACCGAAAAGAAGCCTTTTAATTTCTCCCCCAAGCTCCCGCTGGCCTGCAGATACCCACACTAATGGATACTGCTCTCTGATTGGCTGTCAACAATGTCATTTTCAATTAGAACACATCTCACATGGCATGATTTTGAATCTTTTTTTGAATTTTTATGGTAGTCAACACCTTCAAAATTGATAACATTGCATCATTCGTGTCTATATTAGTATTTTTGGGTGACTTTTCTTTATTGTTGTCCACAGGTTTCTGGGGTTCAGACGGGTCGAGTCTGAGTTTGGGTCGAGCCCTTTATAACTCCACTGACAGTCTGGACAGTGCCAAGGCCGTCACTATCGCCATGGAAGCTGCTGCCATGGCGATGGCAGGAAAGAGACACCCCTCCACCGACAGCCACAGCTCAGTTATGACCTGTGATAAAGCTGTGCTCGTCTCCAAGGCAGAGGAGTACCTGAAAACACCAAGATCATCTATAGGAATACAGGTGAATCTAACATCCTGCATCACTATTAGAGTGGGTCATGCAAAAATAAAAAAACATATATAATTTACTTATTTTTATGTTGATTGAAAACTGCATGGTGTTCTGCCTTATTGACCTATAGAAAGCAAAACATCTGTACAGTATATTTTATTTGTATAAGTTTACGGTATAGTGATTGCTAGTGGGTTTTAGATGAGTGCTGGATTCCACTGACTGACAGTAGTCAACATTTGATGTGGATCAAAGCCTTTTATCAAAGTTGTCCTAAAACCAGTGTGTACTATTGAATGTTCTCGTGCTAGGGCAACTTTGAAGACCTTTTTTGATCCATTTCAAATGTTGACTACTGTACATCAAAATATATATTTTTTTCTTTTCCACAGAAAGAAATAAAGTCTTACACATTTAGATTTTTTTTTATTGGAATGTTTACATTTGGATGAACTATCCTGGTTTACAGTGTGCGTTTTTAATACCAACTTTTTTCATTTTTCATGTCATGACAAGTCTGACAAACCTGACAAGTTTTAGGAACAACAACAAAAAACTTGACTTCTAGTTGATTATTGGTTATCTGAAATGGCTTATATGAAAGACAAAGGCCTCTAGATTACGCTTATTTTACCAAAATAAAATATAAACATGCCTTGATTTTTAAATATTTAATTAGGACAGTCAGGTCTAAATTTATTTTGATAAAAGTTTTGTCACTTACCAAAAATAATGTACAGTAGTAGTAAAAGAATGAATAGTGTGTAGGAACCCCAAACCACGACTTTTCCTTCACCAAACTTGACTGATTTCTGTGTGAATCTGGAGTCCATGCAGGTTCCAATAGGTCTTCTGTAGTATTTATAATGAGTGGGATGCAGATCAACAGATGATTTATCTAAAAAAATCGAAAATTCTGACACATTTCCAAATTATTGCAACTGGGATCCATCACAAGACTTTTGTCTGTGTAAGTGTTAAGTGCAGTAAAGCTGTTTTAATATGAACATTCATTGGACATGCAGTTTTTTTTTGTTGTTGTTTTTTTTTACATTAAATCGTAGCATAATAGTGGCAGATCATGTTATATCTTTTTCAGATCATGCACCTAAAGCATAATGTTTAAAGTAAAAGATATAATTAGAATGTCATTGTTTTATGCACCAAATATAAAAACTGTAAATTCTGATTTAACATTAGTTAACTTCAAAGCATAAATATAATCATTATAATCATTGATATTGATCATTGTGAAATAATATATTGACTAAATTATAAAATAATCTTAATGTATTTTATTTTATTCTTCTGTTTTTGTTCAAAGCCAAAAAATTGCTATGTTATAATAAGCATTATTAACAAAAAAATGCTATAATAAATTATCTTTAGGTTATGTTTCACTAACACTTCACAGACACATAGGTACACCAGAAACTTGTGCTACATAGTGTCAAAAGTGGCATCATATGTAAGTAAATAAATATTTTTGGTACAACCATAAATACAGTGTTAGCCCTCCTCCGAAATTATTATTTTTATTCGTCCATTTATTTTCCTTCGGCTTAGTCCCTTTATTAATCAGGGGTCGCCACAGTGGAATGAACTGACAACTTATCCTGCACACAGCGGATGCCCTTCCAGCCGCAATCCAGTACTGGGAGATATCCATACACACTCATTTTAAAAACTAATTTCTATTTTTCTGTTACTGATTTATTTTGTTTTTACCATGATGACAGTATTAGTAGATAATATTTTACAATATACTAATATTCAGCTTTAACTGAGTTAAATAGGTTAACAAAGCAAGATTGTTAGTTAAACAAAGTCAATGGACAACAGTGGTTTGTTCTGGAGCCAAAAATAAGCATTAGGGAGCTAATAATATTGACCTTAATAATTATTTAAAATGCTTTTATTTCAAACACACCAAAAGACATACCATGTAGTATGTTCTACCATAGAAAATACTGTGAAATATAGTTTGCTTTGTTAAATATTATTTGGGAAATATTTGAAAAATAATCAAAATTTCACAATAGCGCCTATGATTTGTTTTTTGTCTGTTTGTATATAATATAGGCAAGGCAAGTTTATTTATATAGCATATTTCATACACATTGGCAATTCAAAGTGCTTTACATAAACAGAAATAAAAGAGACAAGTTTAAGAAAAATAAAAATAATAATAGAAATTATTAAAAACAGATTAAATGTGTTAAAACATGTTATAAAACAATGAAAAAGAAGAGAAAAACATAATATTATATATTTTTTTTCTTATTTTCAATTTTCCCTGCTTTATATGCTGCCGACTATAATATTTGTTTAAGGCAGGGCAGACCTATGGCAAATGAAGTCAGTGTTGTTCAGAAAATCTGTTTGAAGCAGTTATTTTGTCTTTTTTTTTTTTTTACACTTTTGTCTCTTCACCTTTAACTTTAAGTTGAAGTCTGCATTTTCCTTCAACTTCCCTGCTGTTTTGAGCTCTCGTCTGTCCTCGAGAACAAAATATTCATGAAAAGAGTGCTGAGTAGTGATAAATCCCACCCACAGGCACTCACGCAGACTGAATCTTACCTAACCAAAGCAATGTAGGTTATTTTGGAATCCAAACACAGAAGTATATACAACCCCGTACACCTCCAGTCTGTGTTGGTACTCTAAAAATAGCTTTCTATGAGTCATCGTACCGCAATCCGTTAATTAACATTCAACTCAGGCTTCAGTGAATGGGCTCTCCCTCTCTCTCCTTCCCTTAATCTCCCTCTTTCCTCATCCTTCTCTCTCATTCATCTTCTCTTCATTCCCTCTCTCTCTCTCTCTCTCTCTCTCTCTCTCTCTCTTCAGCAGTTATCTGTCTTTGCCTTGTGAATATCTGTGTTGAGATCATGTCCTAATAATGTTAAATGTTTTTGCCTCTCTCAGCCCTATTGCTGTATCTCTTTTGCATTCACTGTCTACACTGCCCCCTATAGGTTATGCACACAAAGGACAATTAATTGCCAATGGGGGCTCCATAAATATTTATTACCGGCCATGAAACAGAATTTTGCATTATTATTTTTATTAAGAAATATGTTCGCCCACAAGGCTGAAATTATTTAGCAGTTTTTTCCTCGCACATTAGTAGCAAACAGCACATGTCCTTATCACTGTACAGGATGAACAAGTCTTTCGATGAAACTGAATCTGCATTTTTTAGGTTTTCTTTTACTTACTTTTTGGCTGCGTAAAGAAATAGTTCAACCAAAAATGAATATTATTTAATCATTTACTCTAGTTTTTCTTTCAGATGAAGACAGTCAGAGTCATGATAAGATATAATGATGTATCTTTCCAATTCTCTAATGCATTAAATGGTTTCCAGATATTTTATGTTTGGTTTTTTAGACGTTTGGTTCTCATTATAAAAGTAACCATATTAAACTACAACTTGTAGTTTACTAATGTATCCCCTAAAAAGAATGTATGATAATCTTTAATTATTATTTTGTATTATTTATTCTTAATTTTTGTAATATAGACCATTTCAATGTGGCGATGTCATTGGCCCACATTTCCTGCTTGCCATGAAACTATTTCATAACTGTAACAAGATAGGTGGCTCTTTTTGGATTCTCGGAAGCTGTAGAATGAAAAAAATGTTCAACAGGAAATATTTTGGAAGCATTGTTTTTGTTTCCGTCCCTGAAAATGATCCATAGATTGTTGGTCAAGGGGTTGTTAGCCAGCAGCTAGCTCTCTGCAACTCTCACATGGTTACCCACTGAAGCTAATCACGGTCAGTACCTTGATGGGAGACCAGATGGGAAAGCTAGGTTGCTGCCAGACGTGGTGTTAGTGAGAGCAGCAGGGGACACTCAACTTGTGGTCTGTGCGGGTCCTGATGCCCCAGTATAGTGCAGTGGACACTATACGGCTCAGTGAGCGCCGTCTTTCTAATGAGACATTAACCCAAGATCCTGATTCTCTGTGGGTAGGGGTTTTAACCGTGGCATCCTGGTCAAAATTTGCCCACTGGCCTCTGTTCATCATGGCCTCCTAACCCATATCACAATTGGCTTCATCACTCTGTCTCCTTTACATCAATTAGCTGGTATGTGGTGTGCGGTCTGGCACAATATGGCTGCTGTCACATCATCCAGATGGATGCTCCACACTGGTGGTGGATGAGAAATTCCCTTGAAAAATATGCAAAGCACTTTGAGAGTCCAGAAAAGCGCTTTTTAAATGTAAGGAATTATTATTATTAAATATTATTATTATTATTATTATTCTGTAAAAAAAAAGAAAGAAAAAGTAAAATCATGAATAAAAAGTAAAAGAAAAACAGTAACCACATTTACAAGTTTATTAAATGGCTTCTGGCAATTGCCGTATGTGCATTTACGAGAGAGTGGAATTGATGTATGAGAAAGGGTGTAGACTTAGTGGGAGCTAAGGTAGGTAAATTTATAGTGTTTTTACTCTCGCCATAAAAATAATTGTAGTGCTTAATGACTACATGTTTGGCCAAAAACACTCACACGATGAATAAATGCAGCAACAGCCCACTATACTTCACTAGTGTTACATTTTTCATGTTGTGCAGAGGAGAAGGTTTTGGTGCAGTTTTTTCATACATGAAGACGGGATGTAGATTGTTAGCAGTGTTTGAGTGTCAAGAAGAGCATTCAAAAATCCTCTTTATTGTGTCAGTCGATTTCCCTTTTATCCTGCTTGACTGAAACTTATTTTTAAGGCCAGACTGCTGATGATAATGCTCCATTTTCTGGTTCCACCAATAGCTTGTGTGTGTTTTTGTTTCTTTGTAGCAGCTTGCCTAGATATCATTTAATATATTCAACATTCACTTTGCATTGACTCGTGATTATGGTTAAGTAAAGAAATGGTTCACACAAACATTTTAAGTTTTATGTACTTTTGTTTTTCATGGAAATTCATCTGTTCATCATCAATAAAGACAGACAGCAGTGTAGGTTACAGTCACTTTAAGAATTAATGATCAGATATGATATTAGATACACATACAATATAATAAAAGATAACTGATGGTGAATATTTGCTAAAACATGACATAATGTGTGTGTCTAATGCAGTAATAGATTAAAACATTAAATTCACTTTCATGTCTGAGGTTTGGCTTTCAATGTGTGTGCAAAGAAAATGTTCGCATCTATATATTTTTTATTTATGTCTGCACTTCTCTTTCTTTCAGACACTGACATTTTTTATTAATGGTGTTTATTATTTTGTTTTGGTCATTGAAAGCTTTCTTAGATTTCTTATAAAGTTGTCATGTGGCTTGAGAAGACTTGAAATATTGCACATAAGTCACGGTTATAAAATCTAAATAATAAATAATAGTAATTATGCAATTAGCTGTCTGTTTAGGGGATAAAACAGAAATCTAAAATCTGGACAAATATTTTAGATTTCTGCAATTATGCAATTTTTGATTTCAAAATATATGCAATTTTAATATATCTTTAATATTGTTAAATATTAAATATTAATTGAAATAAAATCAGGGTGTCCGGGGGTCTTAGAAATTATTAAAAGTTGATAAATCAATGTAGATAAATTTAAGGCCCTTAAACAAATTAAAAAGCCTTAAATGCTATTTTGCAAGGTATTAAATTTTATATAATTTTTAAATATGTAATGTATTGTTGTATGCTAAAGTTCGCCTGGATTAAATCTGTGAATATCAGGATGCTGTGTAGTTTATAAAATCAATGAAATCCTACTAAATTTCACATCATGCTGCTTTGTTTACTGCAGTAACCAGTAACTCTATAGGCGCAGACCTGCTGAATTACCTAGATTTAATATATTTTTATTCAGTGTATGAATCATGTTTTAGTTTTGGATTAGCTTCTTACATCAATATTTAGTAAATATACTGTTAAAATCTTGCCAGTTTTTCCGGTCTTAAAATGTATGGTAAGAGTCTTAAAAAAGGTCTCAAAAAGTATTGAATTTCACTTTCTGTCATGTATATACTCTGAAAATATATATTTATTTTTATCTGTGAAATCCAAGCATGAACTTGCATGTCCTTTTTAAGCTGTCCATCCTTTGCAGTTTCACAACACCGGATTTTCAGGTTTATATTAATGTGGCGGAATGACTGATGTGACGCATTCTGCCGTGGTCCACAATATCGTTTTGTATCCATGAAGAATCCCTAAGCACACAGAGTTGTCATCTTTTCAGACTATCAAAAAATATAGGGAAACACCGCTCACATAGCTATAATCCTGTAGGACTGGCCAAAAAAAACTTCATATTCTGGCCCTTGCTCTATCATGCCTGACAGTCTGAGTCCCTCAAACAGAATTCCTGCGTCTTTACATTGTCAGCAGTCAGAGTGATTTGTCTGAAGTGAATCATCTTGTTCTCTGATTCGGAGGTGACCGTTCCTCTGTCTGTCCTGCTCCAGCACTTCTGTGACTCACACACTTTTGTCTTCAGATGGTTTGATGTTCTTAGCGGTGACAGACACTTTTAAGCCTCCAAAGTCTTTTGTGAGATACCTGAAAGACTGACCTTCAGTTCGTTATCAGAGATATTTCATTTTATGTTTTTTTTTTGTTTTTGACTGGGTGAATTTAACATCTCAGGAATCAATTAAAACAGAAAGCTTTTACAGTAATAGTCACCGAGTCATAATTGGTTAAATAAAAATATTGCTTAAATATTTAGAATATTACATACAGTATACAGCTGATCAAATCTTTAGGGTTGGTAAGATTTCTTCAGTATAAGTATGCTGCTTTGTTAACATTGTTAAAGAGCCCCTATCATGCATTATAAAAGGTTATATTTTGGATGTGGAGGTCCCCAACAACAGGCTGATATGCATGCAAGTTCAAACAACACTTTCATTGTTTTATAATATTTAATTTTACCTAAAATCGCAATGACTCCCATATGATTTGTTCAGCGATTCATTGGTTCCCAAACCCCTCCTCAGCGTGAAGCTAATCTGCGCTGATTGATCTGATGACCCAGTCTGTTGTGATAGGTCGATAGTGTTTAGCGTGAAAGAGAAACGCCCACCGCTATGAAGTAGCAGAGAGTATGTGAGAGCCCAATGCAGGAATGCAATAAAGCAATGCAGTTAAACACCAGCATATTGGTCTACTCTTAACGCTAACCCCAAGTAATAATAATGACACACATTCAGTATTAATTCACACAGTGGCAAAAGCTGAACTGAATCGTGCCTCGAGTGTGAGGAACAGCTTATGGTGGTCATAGCAAAGACCAACAGCAGAGGATTGCAAGTTCAGATATGCATTTAAATCTGTAAAGAAAGAAGCACGCGCTGCATTTTCAATGTGGTTTTGGACAATATGTGAATAGCCCTATCAATATTAAACCTGAGAGATACAGTACAAGCACTGATCTATAATAGATACGTAATTACAAGCCGTGTGGAGCGATTACATGTTACAACACACAATTAAACACATATTTTGCAAACTACACAAAACGAGGCAATTATTTTAATGACACTTACATGTTATGATCCGGAGGAAGAAGAAACTGGTCCATATGAACTGTAACAGTTACTGACAAAGTCCCTGACAAAGTCTGACAAAGTCCCATACGTAATAGTCTCTGCTGCTCCTTCCTTTTATAGCAAATGTCTAATGAATCCCTCATTGCAGCGTAGGTTATTGTATCAATCATCAGAAGAATGACTGGAACAAACACAGCACTTGGCTGGCTATAATGTGGTATTGTTGTGAAAATTAACTTTAACCCAGGGCCGGAGTGGGACTCCTTTTCAGCCCTGAAGTTTCAAGCCTCAGACCGGCCCACCTCAGTTCACGACTGACTATATTAAAATAAGGTCATTTCCAATTCAGTTTCTAGTTACACTATCACATTTTTTTTTTTTTTTTGAGAAAACAGCTGCTTTAGAACTTCAAATGTTCAACAACCCTAACAGTATTATATGTCTTAACAATAAAAATGAAAAAAAAAAAAATTACTTAGACGAGGATCAAACCCGGGTCGGTGGCGTCATAACCTAACGTGCTAACCACCATATCATCATTAACCTGCAGGCTGCATCTTGCCCACGAGGCTGCGAGAAAATAGATAAAAAGAGCAGAGCTGCGGTAAAATAATGAATAAGAAGACTGTGGTGAAGTAAATAAATAAATTAATTTAAAAAGTGTGACTGCTGAGAGCAACAGATTCTGGAGCTAGGGACACCGGCCCTCGCGGCCAAAAAACGGAACGGCCCACCGGGAATTCTCCCGGTCCTCACGATTAGCTAATCCAGGCCTGCTTTAACCCTTTAGCCTTTGCAGCTGAATCTCCATCTGTCAGTGATCGATTTTTTCATGTCATGATCAGTCCCGTGATCCCCCGTGTTCCGCTAGTGTCTGAAGGAAAAAGGCACGTTCATGTTTTACCAGATCCAGCACTTCAAATTTGGTTATGTACCGTATCGACGTTGATGCGTTTAAGCAAAAGATCCGTACTAACATGATTCATTTATTTGACTCTGAGTTGACTATTTCATTAAAGAATCAATAGTTTTAAACACGATGCACTTTCAGATTTAAAGCTCAGCTAAATGTGTTCATTCACTTAGAGCTGTGTTACACACTGCATGGAAGCGCATTTTCAAAAACCCATAATAGTGGGTTAAATCTTTAAATCTTTAAGCAAATCGTGATATTTTTTTGGTAAAGCAAAGCACCCATTTAAAAATTAAGATTATGGATTTAGAAAATCTGGAGAACAAAATATTTTAAATAATGAAAATTTTGGCCGAGTGAAGTCAATTTTAAACTTTGTTTATGTTGTATAGGGAAACTTATTTGTCAGACCTCTAGATATTTATTTTATCTTATGTTTATTTTTATATATTATTGATGAATTAATATTAAACATTTGTTTTATGATTGTATAAATAGAACAACATTTATTTAAGAAAACCTTCAAATTTCACATTCTGTTCATAATATGTTTTGTAATACCGTAGGTTTTGCTGATTTGATGTGGCATATCAGATTACTCTGCAGCACAAGTAATCATATCATTCCTTCCACTTTACTTGTATTTATTAGCATAAAATAAACATGAATGAACATGTCACATTTTATGTAATCAGTGTTGGGCTTAGCTGTTAACTGTAGCCTTTAATACTACATAACTGTAATGTGTCCAAAATATAAGAATGGTTCAAATGAGTTTAAAACAATAATACATTTATAATGCAAAATGAAGAAATATGTGACTCAGGTCTACAGAAACCAGTGTCAATGTTTTGAAATTGAGATTTACACATCACCTAAAAGCTGGATAAGTACGCTTCCCATAGACTTAGACAAAATATTTCAATACAAAAATAATATTTGGCTGAGAAACAACTATTTGAAAATCACATTTAAAGTTGTCTCAAAGAAATCCTTGGCAATACACATCACTAATCAAAAATGTAATTGTGATATGCTGTATGTATGGAGGGAAATTATAAAATTGACAATGTTTGGCATAAAAGAAACATAAAATCTGTAATTTTGCCCCATAAAATACATTTTTGGCTATTGCCAATATATACCCGTGCAACGAAAGGTTTTGTTATGTAGGGTCACATATTTGCAATAATATACCTTTGCACATGGTCAGTCTGTGTTTTCATTTCAGGTGGAAGCAGCAACTGATTCAGAGTGTGAAAGCAAAGGCTCTCGAGAGTATCAGTCTGTTGGGATTCAAGTAGAGGACGAGAGACGGTAAATACTGCCCCATTGCCTCTGTTTTACCTATATGTGTGAAGGGTGTGTGAGATGTTACACAGAAACACCAGCTGAGTATGAAATGTTGTTGGTTTCATTGGAGGTCTGCCTCTCTCTCACACAGACAGGGCCGGTTTAAGCGCTCCAACAGTGTCACCGCCGCTGTTCAGGCTGACCTGGAGTTGGAGGGTTTCCCTTTAATGGAGGATAAAGGCCTTCAGTTTGGTGGAGGTTTCCAGCGTCACAGCGAGCCCAGCACTCCAACGCAGTATGGAGCTGTCAGGACCGTCCGCACACAGGGTCTCTTCAGCTACCGTGAGGATTATCGCACCCCCACGGAGCCCCCGAGTCCCCAACGGAGCCCCGAGCCCTGGCTGGAGCCCTCGCCGCGGGAGCCCATTGCCACTGTGGCTGTTACAGTAACACCACCCCAACCGTCGGATTCAGGGAGAGCGTCACCCTCCTGCAGGAGAGACGGAAGCTGGTTCATGCAGCTGCTCCACGCGGAGACCAAAAAGATGGAGGGATGGTGCAAAGAGCTGGAGGGAGAGGCGGAGGAGAACGATCTGTCAGAGGAAAGTGAGTTAACGCAGCTCCGCTTCTATGAGCCGTTAAATCTTTTTATTATAATATTTGTTTGGTGGAGAGTTTGGCTCCAGGTTTCAAAGTGGCAGGTATGAATCCAAAGAAGTGTCACATTTAACCGTGAAATGTTGTGGTTATTAAAGGCTCATGCTGAGAGCGCTGCCATGTGAGCAATTTTGTCTGTCAACATCTGTCAGGTTTCCATGGCAAAGAGCTGAGAGACACACCGAGGCTCTAAACATCAGAGACAATGAATAGCAATGAGTGTGAAAAAATGCAGTAGAGTCTGATCACTTGTGTTGGGGAGTATTAAAATGAGCAAATTTAATTATAAATTATATTAAATCACCCTTTACATTGACCAAAGTTCTTTAAAATGTCAAAAAGTAACTCAAACACAAACCACAAGTGAAGTGAGTATTATCAAGTATGGTTACTTATACTTAAAAGTAGCCCCAACTGCTGGAACCCAACAGTTCCACAATCTCCATCACAATGCAATGACCCAACACCAAGTGGCAACTCGATGCCAGATGTATTTTAACATATATAAAAGAACTGGATGACTATTCCAGAAATGTTGGGAAGCCACAGAAAAAGCTTGCTTACCTTTGATTTTCAACCATGATTCTTGTGTGGAAAGGGGGATGTGGTGGCGCAGTGGGTTGCACGATCGCCTTACAGCAAGAAGGAAGTTGGTTCGAGCCTTGGCTGAGTCAGTTGGCATTTCTGTGTGGAGTTTGCATGTTCTCCCTGTGTTTATGTGTGCTTCCTTCCGGTGCTTCGGTTTCCCCCACAGTCCAAAGACATGTGGTACAGGTGAATTGGGTAAGCTAAAATTGACCATAATGTACATGTGTATGAGTGCGTATGGATGTTTCCCAGTGATAGGTTGCTACTGGAAGGGCATTTGCTGTGTAAACCATATGCTGGATAAGTTGGTGGTTCATTCCGCTGTGGCGACCCCAGATTAATAAAGGGACTAAGTCGAAAAGAAAATGAATGAATGAATTAATACATTTTTGTGTGGTGATCTTTTTTTCAACATGGTACTGTGGAGCAAGGAAATGTAGATCTTTAACAAATATTATCAAAACTTTATAATCTACTCTAAAATGAAGGATTCCACTTATGTTCTGAGTACATAGTATATTGAATTTGATAAGGAGCATTCTTCTCAGTAGTCAATGTTGCCATTATCCTTTGATGCTTGTAAAATAGCTTTGCAGCATTTTACTTTCATCTTCAGTGTCATATCATCCCTCAGTCATCTTTCTAATGTACTTTTTGTTTCTCTTTAAATTTAGGGGATAAGGCAAAGTCTAAAAAGTGTAACAAATTTACTGCCTTTGTTAGTCAGTTGTAGCCTAATTTATTAGTATCTAGCTTTGATCATTTTAAATATGTACTGTACTGTAATGTGATTACAAATAGAAAGAGCTCTATTTTAATGATCTAGGCGCAAAGTATAAAGCACATGGTGCAAAAGCATTAAGGGCGTATACAAATTTTTTTTTTCTATTTTAAGGATGGAAAAATACGCTTTGCGGCCCAGGTTGTGCTTATTCTCTTTATGAGTTATGGATGTGTTTTGTGCATAACATGCATGAAACCAATCAGAGTCTTATCTCACATTTCCTTTAAGAGTCAGTTGCGTCGCACTATGGCACATTTGCATGGCAAACTTTGTAAGTGAAAAAACTAGCAAAAAAAACAACTTAACAAACCATCTGTATTGCGAGGATATGAATGAGCTCCCTACATTTGGCCTCTTTACTTTAATTTTACTCTTTACTTCATCCCTTATTTTTATGAAGTAAGGAAACTGTGTTGTACGCACTCCACATCCATTAGCCTACATATTTAATTTTATTTGCTAAGCGCAAAGATTTGCCCGATATAGTGATGCATATGTCTCCAAACCCAGATAGATGGACAAATCTAAACTTGTTTTTATTAAAACAAATATAAATATACATATAATAAATAATACTGCTAATAATAATAACATTATAACAAAAATGCTAATTGTCATAAATAAACTGAAAAAGCTTCCTGACATGAAGAAGGCATGGAGGCAGTGGTTTGTGTATTTATGTAGAAAATAATAATGTTTGTAACATTTTAATCCTATATTTTTTTTCATATGTAAAGATATTTGTTTGTTGCTTAACATTTTGTGTGTATTAATTCATGTGTAAGCGTTTGGACCTGAATAGGCGCATAACTAACAAACTCTGTGCTGGACTTTAAGCCAGTCTTCAGTTGGTCAGTGGCGCAGTCGTTTTCATTCAAGCTCCTTAACACACCTCCTTTATAGACCAGCACACCCATGAGTCCACAAAGTGGTGCAAATGAATTAGCTATTTAAACAACGTGATGCAAAATGTGAAAAATTAGGGTTGCACTGGTCTGAAAATAGCAACAAATTGCACCAAACACACCTTGCGCCTTATTGCACCAGATGTATGATAGGGCCCTAAATGTTAGAATTGTATCACATGATCAGTTACGTACGTTATAATTTAATCTGAAAGTTCACATGAGTTTACAGACACTTTATGACCTGCAGAAAGTTTTTCAGTAGATGCTTATTACATATTTATCTTTTTTCTCTGTTTGTGTGTTAGTCCTGGGGAAGATCCGGAGTGCTGTAGGAAGCGCGCAGCTCCTGATGTCCCAGAAATTCCAGCAATTTTATTGGCTTTGCCAGCAAAACCTAGTAAGTGACATCAATGCACACATGCCAATTTGTGCACAAGTATGTGTTCTGTTTGTGCTATTTTGCTAGGCTTTGTACTCTCTGCAGCTCTTCCCCAGATGCTCAGCCGCTCTCCTCCACAGGGGTGTTCTGTGCTGGAGTAATAATGGTGTCGTTGACGGCCTTTTGTTCTGCTGTCACATTCATTAAATATGATACACAACAGCACATCAGCTGATCTGAGTCGGGCATGCAGAGAAAACAAATGACCAAGTACGGAGGCAAACGCAGTTGAGCAGCGCTTTAGAAAACAGCCTAAATCCTCATGAATAAAATGCTTCACTGTTCAAAGCAAACACTCACAGTGGTTGATTTGGCAACACACAGATTTATGAAATGGCAACAAGTGATATGAATATAGTTATTGCATCAAATACAGTTGCACTTCAGTTGTCAAATTGAAGTTTTTGTAAATTTCAACCCAAATTCTTTAATGAATAGCCAAAATTCTCTTATTATGGGTGAAAGGGCAAAGCTTTTGGTCTTTATCAGAATATATTTTACAGAATATATTTAATATGTTTTACAAATATATATTTTTTAAATAGCTTTTTCAGAATGGCATAAAATTATATGTATAAATAAAGAATATTAAGTTATGATTATCTTCCATAAAGATTTTTGTTAATTGCCTGCTGTGAATATATCAAAACTTCATTTTTAATTAGTAAAGAGCTTTGCTAAACATTGGTTTTAGACATCTTTAAAGGTGGTTTTCTCAATAATTATTTTTTTAATTCTTACATTCCAGATTCTCAAAAGGTTTCTCTGCCAAATATTGTCCTAGCCTAACAAAGCATACATTAACGAAAAGCTTGTTCATTTTGCTTTAGGGTAATGTATAAATATCAGTTTTGACATGATGAACTCTTATGACTCGTTTTGTGGTCTAGGGTCACAAATACGACAAAGCAGTGACCTTGACATTTAGAAAATGATTAACAATTTTAGAAAGAATTTAGCAAATACATGATGTAGTGTTGCATTCAGTGTGTTATTATTTATTTATGATAACATGTTAGTTGAAGTACCAGTTGTCACTATTAACTATAATAGTTTATATTCTGGCTATTATAAGATATTGGCTGTTTATTAGTTCTTATAAAGTACATATTCTGCATGATTTCTATTCTAAATCTCTCATCCTACCCAACTACTATATTAATAACTATTAATAATTTAATTGTGGCAAACAAAAAATATAGTTAATATTTGGCTAATACAGAGAATTGTACTTAAATAAGGTGTGGTTTTATTTGTTAATGGGATTTCTATTCAGTTATGTTTAGTATTCATATTTTAATTATCTAGTATTGTGTTATAGATGTTGGGTTGTGTTGCAGGACCCCAGTGCCATGCCTCGGCCCACTTCTCAGGACCTTGCCGGGTTCTGGGACCTGCTGCAGCTCTCCATCGATGATGTTACCTCCAAGTTCAATGAGCTGCAAAAGATCAAGTCCAATGATTGGAGGCTTATTGACAGCCCAGTAAAGAAGGTGAGAGCCGACTATGTCAGGATCATCCTAGTCATAATTGCCATCAAACCTGATTCCGTGCTCCACACTATACATATAAAAGAAATGTTGTACAACTGCTGTTCAAAAACTTGGAGTCTATAGGATTTTTTGGTAATACTTTATTTATAACAGTGTGCTTGAGTCTGTATTTACTCAGTTATTTTAACTAATTACTTGATGGTGTGGTCCACTAAGATATCATATTTTAAACTTTAGTTGATGTGTAATGTAGCTGAATGAACATAAACAACATCTCTGAATGTAAGATGCTCAAAATTCAGTGCAAAGGGAGACATTGGCTTTTACAAAGTTAGCATGGCAAAGCCCACAGCGAACAAAGTTTGAGGACTACAAAAAAATACATCTAGGTTATTGAGATCACAAATGCTTCAGGCTACGCCCATTTACCATGCACATACACCCCGCACACAAAAGGGCCATGACCAGATGTGCTGCCATGTAATAGCAGTGAAAGCTAAAATGCCATCCAAATGCTGCTATTTTCATAGAGCTTCTTCTGTTTCTGTATTTGGGCTTCCAAGGGACACGACACAAAGAGAGAAGTGCTTACAATTTAATTTGAATTAGGTTCCAGAGAATTATAAAAAATATATAGCTAGCATTTGACAAAGGACAGCTTCTAGAATGTCTCCCAGTTCAGTACTGGATTTGATTATAACTCCTCAAAGAAGGAGCAGCTCCAATCATAATGGACGAAGCTGTGGATTGTGAGCCACAACCTGTTTTTTTATTTGTTAAAATTGAACTGTTACATGCATAGTATCTAGTGTTAGTGCTATGTTGCAGCAAGGACATAAACATGGATGTAAACAATTAGAAATGCTGTTTGGCACCGCTTACAATTTAGCTACAAATTCAAATTTTTTTGTCAAACCCTTGTAAACCTTCCCAATCTTCACCAGCGCTGCATTGTCTCTCTATGTGGCTGTTCAGCTTTTCAGAGGAACTAGAAAATATGACATGAAATATGTCATTTTCATATTAGCTGAGTACAGTAGCTTTATATAATCAAAGCAAGATATATTTACAAACGAAGCATGAGCTTACATTGCTTTGCATCTTATAAACACAACCAAGCCTTAAAAATACACTTTGGACCACCCCTTTAAGTAAGTGCTTACTGTGTAGTTATGATGAGGATTAGATGTATGGTTAGTTACATGTAATAATACTTAATTTATTGTTATTACTACTTTAATTTAAAAAATGTAACAATTTTTTTTCTCAAAATAAATGAACACAATAAATATGTGTTTTTTTTTTAGATATTATAAAAAGAATCATTGTTTTAAAATATATAATTAAGATTCAAAATCTTCTTAAAATTCCATTTTACCATTATAGGAATCAGTCATAACATTTTACATAAACTAGAAAACAGCTATTATTAAATAATAATAAAAAACACTATTGCAGTACAAATCCATTTTTAATTGCAATTCAGATATTACCTAAATTGCAATGAAAAAGTGACCACAGTATGTGTACATTCTTATCCTGTGTTTGGATATTGCTTGTTCTAGCTCCCGCCGCCAGTACCAAAGAAGACATTACGTAAGAGTGTGACAAGGGAAAAATCTTTGGATCTCCCAGACCGTCAGAGAATAGAGGCACGACGGCGCCTCATGGCAGCCAAACGCGCAGCTTCATTCCGCCAAAACTCAGCATCAGAGCGAGCCGACAGCATCGAGATCTATATACCAGAGGCCCAAACACGACTTTGAGAGACACAGGGAACAGCTTTATCATATTGTCAACATCATTTTCAATACCATGACACAATCATCAGGCTAATCGTCCAAGACAAGGGTTAAGGTTTTTGTATACCTGGTTTCCGAACTGCCTGTAACATCTATGTGAAGTTTCCCTATTAAGGGAGACTCACACTTCCCCACAATAAAACATATTGCACAACATATCGCAATTGTAGGCCCTCATGACAACAGTGTTGCCTGACGAAGCAAAACTTCACATATAAGCTTTAATCACAGCTGAGAAACACATTCAATCTGATATTCTCTTTGTTTGTGTCTTTATGACATCCGTTTAGCACTTTCAAAGTTGAAAATTCACATTTTGAGGCCTCAAATCTAAAGTTTTCATTTGTTTTCATTGGATTGAAGAAAAGTATTTAGTTTGTATCCTGTTTGGTTTCATTTGCATTTAATTTCTCTCCCTCCATTATCGTAGTTCAGTTTTTTCAGTGACGTTCGTGGTATTTTTGTCTCTTGTTAGCATTGTGCCAGTGCTGAAATACCTCAATCATACATTTCAGACTGAAGCCGCTTGCCAGAACGGACAGTCACAGCCTTTAAAAAAAAAAGTCACATTACACTGTTATGGAGTAACTTCAATCTCAGAATGAGGGTTTACGCTGTCAGATCAAGAGATCAGTTTTTATTATTCTCGTACTTACAGATATAATGCTGATGGATTGTCATTCTAGAGGAGCTGCTGTATATGTTTTTGGGTGCAATTGCTTCAAACCTAAAATCAACAATGTAAAGGTTCAAAAATGCATTTTGCACTTTCTTCTAAATGTGTGTTTGTATGTATTTCCAAGGGAAATGAAGTTCTAAAAGATATTGTTGCAGTTGAATTGCAAGGTTTTGTGTGACTATCGATTTGTCATTTCATGTCTCTGAATGTTTCATTTCTGCAGCCTCATCTGGCCATTCATCGGTTTGTATTTATTTTATTGAACAGTTTTTCTCTCAATCTGCTGTTATCAAATGTCTGACCCATGTTCTCTGCACAAAAATCAGCTTTTTATGTCCTTTCTGTACGTCTTGACAAAGAATCAATGATTCTGTCTGGGCTGAAGGAGATGTCGGTGTACCCATTATTATCTTGATCACTTGCTGGTTGGTGATGGATGGTTTATCTGTAAGACTGCACATCTGTGAGAATGATTTAATAGTATAATCAAACTGTTCTCAAGTCAGTTTGATGGCATTTGTACAAAAAGGTGACTGCAGTAAGGAGAATGGTTGATTATATTACATGATCATAACCAAAGGCTAGCGCTACTTTGACTTGTTATACAATTGTTGGATTTATTTAATTTAAAATTGTTTTTCATTGAAGTGCGTCACTAATGATACCACTTCCTGTTTGACGTCCAGCAGTTCAGCTCTAACACTTGTTCTGTAATATGAAGTGTAAAAAGTGGGGCCTAAAATTAACACCTGCCAAGTGCCAAATGAAAGCAAAAAATTAGTTGCGCAGTAAATGATATCTGCCATTTTTGCATTTTTTTTATTTTTACAATGTCAAAGAACAATGTGGTTTAGCACTATTTTTAAGTTGTAATAATAACTGTGCTGTAATGATATAAATGTAATTAGAAACGCAGCACTGTGATCTCGTGAGCAGCTCACAATAGTAATGTTTTCAGTGTTTCAGCATTTGCAAGTGCTGTGTGTATGAGTTGCTTAAAATACGCATTTAAATGGCACCTTATTTACCTCTTTTGCAAGATCTAAGAAAAGCCTTTGGTGTCTTCAGAATATGTATGTAAAGTTTCAGCTCAAATTACCCATCAGATTATTTATTATAGCCCAAAGAATCTGCCCAGTTTGGTGTCTCAATACATTGTAGCTGATTTTGTAGCCTGTGGCTTTAAAAGCAAATGAGCTACTTTTCCCCGCCTACTGTTACCACATGCGTGTCTGCTTCTTATCATATGCCTCAGATATACAGCAGTCAGTGACAGAGACAGAGTCTGATGAAGCTGAAATACAGCTCATTGGTCAAAAATGGCAAGTAAGTTTATTTAATGTATTTGTAGTAGTGTTTTTTCAAGCCTTTCTGAAATGATGAGTCTTGCACAAATGCCTTTTGTAGTACACTCATACCCACACATATTAGCATTTACTGACACCATGCAGCCGTGGTGATTATAGTGGTTAAGAATTACAGCAATTCGACTGTCTTTTTTGCAAACATACTCAGTTATAAAAATGTTTTTAATCTTATAAAACTTAAAAAAAAATTAATCCCAGTTTATTTGCAAAACAAAATGTTCTGTGGACATGTGTATACATGTTATTATAGAAACATGGCGCCTGTCAATCAATTGGTGGCCGGGGAAAACCGCACTCCTACGTCACATTGTGGTGGGCCTCAAAATCACTGCGATTTGGATTCTATTTTAATGTCAGGAAATTTTTAAATAGAGACTTATTGTGTTTCTGTCACTCCAATATGACTGGACACACTATACATACAGACAGTTCCGTTCAAACGACTTACAAAAATAGTTTTTCATCATAGGTCCCCTTTAAATAGTTTATATTATTATACAATACTAAAATAAACCTAATTATTACCTACTGTTAAGTAGTATTGTAGTGATAATCCATTGTTTAGCTGTGTGTTTACCAAACATCTGCCTTTTTGCAAAGAAATAATGAACCATTTAATGGTAAAACATGTTTATTTGCTTGGTACTTTCTCTTAAGTAATTGGCAAGTCTGGCAAAAGGCTAATTTTAGGCCCTGAGGTAAATGTTGCATCTGAGTGACTCATGGCCACTGAAATGTCACTGCTAACAGTTTCAAAACCCCTAAAAGTCTTTCTTCTTGCCATTTTTTACTATATTTAATTCACCATATCTTCTTACAGTGCCCATCATGCACGGTTACGTTTCATTTCAGATGTCAAGCTATATCCGCTCTTTCCACCCTTTTTTGCCTCTGTGTCAACTGAAGGAGACAAGACCAGAGATTAGAGGAGATTAGTTTTATCACTTCCACTCCACTTCCTTGTAGCTTCATATTCTCAATTTCCTTTGCGAGATGACCTTGAGAAAAGCTCATCGTTAGAGGCAAATATTTTCTTTTAATTTGTCACTGCTCCGTATCTTCCTGCTGTAAGTCATTGTTTAAACACAATTACAGCATTCCATTCAAGAGACACATGTAATCGATGAAACTGACTTCAGGCTGTTGGGACATTTTGGGAAGTAATTTCTTAAAACTTAGCGTCTAAAGTGACAATATGGCATTCTGCTTCTCATTTCACATCAATGAAAGTGTTAATAGATTATCTTGTTAATCATTATTTGAAAGTTCTGAGTCGTGGCCCTCAGGGTTTACAGAAATCCACTCTCCTAGGCCTTACAAACTTGTCGGACTGTTGAAATACACATTAAACTGATGGGTAACTCTTTCAAATATTGTCTAATGCAATAGCTAACATGAACTATATTGAACTATATATATATATTTTAACAACATTTGTTAATAAAAATACAGTGGTTTCAGTAGTTCATGTTAGTTCACAGTGCATAAACTATTGTTACCAGATATTTTTCAAAATAATTTGAAGATTAATGAAAGCTGTAGAATTTTAGTTCGTGTAACTTTATTTCAAAGCATTACCAGCTGATGTAATGTTTTGCCAAATTGATTTATTGATTCTTAATGGGTTACTTTAGTCACGTTTTCTTTATTCTGAAGTTTATTCTCTATATCTTGAGTAATTATGGTTGTGATTATGCCGTCCTGCAATGTGGCAGCTGTCCTTTCTGATTAACTTGCTCAATTATCAATATGCAAACATGCCAGACATGCAGGCAGTGTTTATGTGCCAAATATGTTGATGTGCCACATGTTTGAACAGCTTCTGCTGTTAACAGATCCTCACGTGTGTCTTCTTCCCCATGCTTTATCTTCATTACTATTTTCGTGACAGTCTGAAAGCGTTGCGGTGAGCTGACCTCTAAACAAATATTTGGAAAATCAAAAAATGCTCACGTCCCATTTTTTTAAAACAATGGAGTCCTTTCTAAACTTTGTTTGATGTATGATGGTTCTGTTTTTTCGAAAGGGTTGCACTGGGTGGTCATTTTGTTTAAATATGCTTTCACAAACATCTATTCAAATGTACATTTACTCCATTGATTTCCATCAAAATAAATCATGTCAGTATCTAACAAAAAGAAAGGATTTACCCTCCAGACCACAGTATATATGAAAAACAGCCAGCGGGCCTTTGGTACCGGACTAAGACACCCCGCTTTCGGTTTCTTACTGTAGAGAATCTTTTTCTTGGGACTGGATTAATCCTGAATCTCAGAATGTGAAAAGATCTTAGTGAAATTAACATATGAGAAAGGTAGTTGTTTAGCTGAGAATATTTTCATTTATTATACTGTATATCATATCTATATGAAGGGTGAATATAATACCAAATATTCATTATTTGTACAGAATTATATAAATAGTTATATATAAATATATATAATATAAATACATAATTGATCTTTTGTTGAAGCAAAGCTCTTTTTCTGCTCTTCCTCTTGAGTTGAGTTGAGTTTTTGTTTTGTTTTGTTTTTCTTTTCTTTTTTGGGTGGCATGCACCATTCTGATGCTGAATGTGGGTTTACCTGCTTCATTGCTTTTCCAAATCACTTTTTTGAATGTTGTTTACTGTTAAACCTATCGGTTGAGTTTATTTTTTACGTACTCATGAAATGTTTCAAATGTGTTACTAATTTGTGTTATGAATTTGACACTTTGTTTTGGGTCACCTGGATTATTTGTTTCTTTTCACGACTTGATTATTGCTATGATTATACATTGTAAATAATTCGGTCATTAAATTTTTTGAAGGAAACAAGTTACGTGGGTCATCTTGAATTGATTCTGCACAACATTTACAACAAAACTTTTACCAACAGAGCTGTCTCAGATTTGTTTTATAAGTCCAGCGCCGCATTTGTGACAAAGCATAGCCTAATTATGACTAAATATTTTCATTCGGATTCAAAAGAAATTCCATTTATCAAAACAGATTAAATAGCACTACAATCTTTCCACCATGTTGTTTTGACATTGGTATTTATACATGTTATAAGCCTTATTACTTTTGGGAGTAAACAGCCAATACAAGCATCAGTAGCGCTCACGGCTCCTGTAGCAGCCACTTATATCTTCGTGCTGTAGATCCACACAGACCCATTTGCAGGAGATAAATCGCTGCAATAACAGAGAACACACTTTTTTCTTGTTCATCTTTCTACTTAAGCTTTTCATGTACTGATTTAATTTATATTTAGTGTTCTTTTTTCTAAACAAAGTTTATATTCAGCGGCATGTTCACTCTCAGTGAATATTATCATAAACGTTTCCTAAGCAACTTCAAGTTGGGGGACTCCCACCAGCTGCTTGAATCCCCCCTGAGGGCAACAGGCGGCTACAAAGTCTTTGCTAAACTAACTTTGTTCCATTTTGGTGACTGTCACTTTTAAATTCAAATGAGAATATACTTCCAGCCCTCTTTCCAAAACTGAGTGGAGCTACATTCCACATCTTAGTGTGGGATGCACTAAGAGGTTGTAATGTACTACTATGATTAATTTTATAAAGGTATAAAACATTGGCACCAATTACACACGCATGTGCGTCCACTTGGATGTTCATCGAAGGCTGCAGCACTTCTCCTAATGGGTGGGGCTTTTCAACTCTTATGACATGTACAATGGGAGGATGTCAAACAAAATGTTTCTGCAGACTGTTTATGGAGTGATTATAAAAATGAAATTAAGACATTTTGACTAATAGAATCTGGTTATATTCACAAACTGTTGCCTCACAACTGTGTTTAAACCCCTTATAAAACAGGTTTTTGCATAATAGGTACCCTTTAAAGCTAATAAAGTTGTAAATAAAGTTCTATTTCTTACACAGACCAAAACAGTGTTTCCAAACGTTTGAGTTTTATAACTCAGATATCCTTAGCACAAGTGTGGTTTGCAGTTTTGTCTTGTGGTCTGTCTACAGAAACACAATTTGAGGAAGTTTCTTTAAGCCAGAAGATACCACTATTTTAATCTAATAAATTTACTACCTTCGTTATGTAAATTATAGTTCTAAGCATCAGTAAACAACAGGATGTGAAGACTGAGGTATTTTAGTATCTCATATTTATCTTACATTAATACATATTTATGTTTTATTTGTCTTCTGTTTTGTTCAAATACACACCAATTAATTCATATTTACAATAAATCAATGATGACCCCTGCTGGTAAAATGAGCTAACTTCGTTTAACTGCTAGTTCACCCAATAATGAAATTTTGCTGTTTGCCACCCCAGGAAGTGGCTTTTGAAAATGTTTTGAAAAATGTTAGAAACTTGTAACCACTGACTTTGATAGTGGTCAGAACTTATTTGTGTTGAACAGAAGAAAGAATCTCAAACAGGATTGTGACAAGTGAAGGATGAGTAAATTATTTTTTAAAAAATGTATAGGGTGAACTTTCCTTTTCCTTTCCTTCGTGCTTTCTGTCAAATAATAAAACCTTTAGCAGCTATAATAAAGTACAGTCCCTTCTGTGCTATTAGGCTTTAATACTTTTTGTTGTTGCTATTTCTAAACATTTATTGTGGTCTTTTTTTATAGGATGGATGCCTTAAATAATTTGACAAATGTATATATTTTTGCCCCTTTTCTGTCTATTTCAAATCGAAATACACTTAGAAGCCACTTTAATGGGTACACCTCTTCAATTGCACATTAACGCAAATTTCTAATTAGTCAATCACATGGCAGCAGCTCAATGCATTTAGACATGTAGACAGAATTTCCAGTGTGCAGCATTTCTGTGTGTGCAAATGCCTCGTTGATGCCAGAGGTCAGAGGAGAATGGCCAGACTGGTTCAAGCTAATAGAAGAGCAACAGTAACCAAGGTACGCAGAAGAACATCTCTGAACACACAACATGTCAAACCTTGAGGCGGATGGAAGCAGAAGACCACACCGGGTGCCACTCCTGTAAGCTAAGAACAGGAAACTGAGGCTACAATTCACACCGGCTCACCAAAATTAGATAATAGAAGATTGGAAAAATGTTGCCTGGTCTGATTTCTGCTGTGACATTCGATGGTAGGGTCAGAGTTTGGCAGGATCCATTCTGCCTTGTATCAGCGGTTCAGGCTGGTGGTGGTGGTGTGATGGTGTGGGGGATATTTTCTTGGCACACTTTGAGCCCATTAGTACCAACTGAGCATTGTGTCAATGCC